TCCAGTATCTCAAAACTGTTCTTGCTCTTCTCTGCAGATACTGAGAATCTCTAGGTGTACACTGCACCCTGGAACCTGGGGCACTCTGTGTGGGCTGGACAACCAGGACAGACACGTGCTGGGTGCCTGGGCACGCACTGACTGCTGTGGTCACTGCTGCTCCCTGCACCCTGGGGCCAGGATGAGACCTGGAGGACACAGGGAACACTACTGAGACCTGTCAGCCACACCATGCTGGGAATCACACCAGGATCTGTCACAGGCTGATGGAGAGTGTTCCAGGCTGTCCAAAAAAAAAAAAAAAAGCTTTCTCTTTGTCTAAATCATGTGCCATGGTTTAGGCTGGGCTGACACTTCTGAGGAGTCTTGGGAAGAAGAGGGATTCCTTGGGGCCCTGTGATTCCAGCAGATTTACCCTGCCCTGTCGTGTGCTGAACCCAGTAGGTAAAGGATAGGACACTGTGTGTCAATATTGAAAATTGAGATATTTTGAGGCTGATTTCCTAATTCAGGAGCTGTTGGTTTTTGGCTGTTGTTGGTTGGGGTTTTTTTAAGGATGAAATGTAGTGCTTCTGTTCCTAACAAACTCACCAGGCAGTTGCAAACCATACTCCATAGTGAGCAGATAGCAAAGGTCCTACTCTGTGTTGGATGGGTTCTTACAAATAATCTCTTAAGTACCCTGTTTGTTTTCTTGTTGTAAAGTGACACTTGTCTTTGAAGGAAAAAACAAAACAAAACAAAACAAAGGCAAATAGAGAATAACTGGGAGCAAAGAGTAGGAAATTTCCTAACAATAAGGTCTGGAAAACTCTGTGTTCCTTGCAAAAACAACCAGGAGTGCAAGAGGCTGCTGCCCAGCCACATCAGGGGAACTTGGGGAAACCACTCTCTGACCTAGAAGAAAAGAAAAGGAGGAAGAGTTGCCAACCCCCAACAAAACTGATCAACTCTAGTCACCAAAACCAGGTTTAATATGCTTAAATCTGGTATCAGCTGAGTTTAAGAGGCATTGCCAAATGTGTTTGTGGCTCAGCACAGGGGTTTGTGGTTTGGATGTGGAGCTGTGGTCCAGCAAAGGGAGCTCCTCACAGTGGCTCCCACAGGCAGGTGGGGCTGGTGGCCAAGGGCTTCACCTCATCGCCTGGGGACAAGTCACAGCCCAAATGGACAGGAAATGGGTTTGACAGATGAGACAGGCGTGGGGATAATGGCTGGGTGACTGATGGGGTGGGCTGTGTGATGGGTAGGGCTGCTGAGGGACAATGCTGGGTGAGCTAAAAACTCCATTAGACTGAAACTGGAGCACTGCATGGGATCCACATCCCTGACTGAGGGCTGGGGTTCACTGGATAATGGCGAGCTGCTGCTCAGAACAGTTTCAGAGGGCTCTTTGCACTGCAGCAGAGGGAAAAAGAAAACAAAAAACTGCATTGAACAAATAAGTCGATGAAAAGATCTGGGTGGGAATGTGAGCATTGCCTGATATGATTTGGTGTCCCAAATGGCCTTAAACAGCCCATAGAATTTCTATGTCTAAAACAGATTCCAGCAAAGGAGACCTTTTATGATGCACTAATAAGCTCATTAGGCTTTCTCCAGCAAGGCATGCTCACAGCATCGTATGTTTTTTCCATTACAGGAATTACACGTGTTTTGTTGTGCTTTGGGTTTTGTTTTGTTTTCCACATAGACTTGCCCTGACAGTTCCCCCATTCAGGTTTATATTGGAGGTACCATCTCAAGCCAATGAATTTTATGAAATATGTTGCTGGCACTCACAGAGAGATGCATAAAGGAAATATTCTAATGACAGTTGGAAAGACTTTGATCCCTTTCCAAGACTGCACTCATGTCTTTGAAATGTGAGTTTGGCAGAGCTGGAAAGGCTGGGCTCTTTGGCTCTCTCTGGCACGAGCCCATGTGACAGACATAATGTCCTCTGTCAGGGGACCCACATAACCTTGAGAAGTGTAAGCAGTGCTCGCAGATTGCGCTGGGTCAGATAGTCTGGGCTGATAACGAAGCAGGGGGGAGTCAGCCTAGTCCAAAGCAATAACTGAAAGCTGTTTTGACCTGGTAACTGTTGGGTCTGCTGCCTGCGGCTACGGAGTTGGACATGAACTGCAAAAGTAGTTAATTTATGCCTCCTTGAGTGTAGGAATGTGGCGATGATGGATAGGGATGGGAGGTTATTAGAAACATGGGGAGGAAGGAGAGGAAGGAATTCCAGCTTGTGTTTTTATCTCTTACACACGCACACACTGGTTCCTCACATTCTCTTGTCTGCCTCATGTGTGTTCAGTGTCCAAATCCTCACTGCCACACTCACATCTCTGCTCCTGCATGCTCACACAGCACACACTCACACACTTCCCAGGGCTCTGCCTGAGCTCAGGGCTAGGGCATGTTTACGTGCTGGGGATTGCTGGCTGTTTCCATGAAGGAGTTTGCATTTATTGCCTTCCAAGCATGATCCACTTACACCTACACCCGGGCAGATCCTTTGCTAAAAATCCTCTTGGCATTCTGATCTTCTACCATTGAATACATTCTGCTCACTCACAGCTTTCCCCTGGCTAACAGAGAAAAGTGGTCAGAGAAATATCAGAAACTCAAGTCCAAAGGACTTAGTAGGATGGATTTACATAAGGCATGAGTCCAGTCTCAGTGAAGCATTGCCATCACTAGCCAATTAGTTAAATGCTGTCTGCTCTGGATGTTTTTTGCAGTAATAATCCATGTAGCCCTGGAAGTTGGAGCACGTGGGCTGTATGGAAGAGAAAGAGCAACTGTGGCCATGCACTGAGGAAATAAATGGGGATTGGGTTGTGTAAACGATAAGCAAAGAGACAGCTGAGAATAAAGAAATATTAGTTTAGATTATTTGAAACCATGAGTGAAGAAGAAGGATAAAAATGGTAATCTCAGGAGGGGAGTTGGATTATGGTCACTCCTACAGGGATTTGCATGTGCATAAAGCATCTGCATCCAGAGCAAACAGCACCATCAGTCCAGGCAGCAGGATCTTCCTTCTCACTGGGATACCAACACATAAACATTCTTCTAGTCAGACTAGGGGCTTCTGTTTCTGCCCCTCTTCTTGCACAAAACATCGCATCACTCCCACATTGTCTCTTACACTTTTGCTCGCTGTCAGTGATGCTGCCATAGGTGCAGGCACACACTGTCCCCTCCACATGGTCACACCCCCTGTCACACATTCCCTCAATGCTCTCACACTGAGAATATTTGGAAGTGCACATCAGTTCTCACATGTAATTTCAAGCTATTGCTCATGGATGTGTCTCTGTAGGAGCCCATGCTGGGAAAAGATGTTTTCTAAGGCACAAAGAAGATCCTGGGAGTAGATTGAGCAGAGCCTCAGAGCACTGTGCCAATCCAGGCAGGACAAGCTTGAGGAGCTAAGGGGAAGGTCTGTATATTTTCCATGGATGTGTTGAGAACACTGGAGAGATGAGAAATGTGTAAAGGGTCACAGTGCTGACCTGTCCTTTAGGATGTCATCCCCATTTGATTGGAAGATAAACACTGTACGGAACGGAAACATCCCCTTCCACTGGTGTCCCCAAAGAGCACATCTTCCTCCATGAGTCAGCCAGGGCCTGGGGACACCCAGCCATGATCTATTTTGGAGGCAATGACTTCAGCAAGTGGCAGGGGAAGCTATTGTGGAAATATGAATGTGTTTTCCATTTGGGAGTCCTCCGGGGAAGGACAAAAAGATCTTGGTGCTGAGCCAGCTCCCCCATTTTTTTCTTCACCCTTCTGGGAGCAAAAGCCTTGCAAAGTATGCAGGGAACCCTTCTCAGAGCTTGTGGGGGTGTGTGGTTTGGGAGAGCTATGTAAGCCTTACACACATCCATGCACACTCACAAAGGGGGACTCCAGGAAGCAGGAATCAGCCTGCTCATGGCCATGGTGGTGTCTGATCCTTACAGCCTTTGAACCGTGCTTGGCTCATCTGGGTCAGAATGCCAATGTGATCCCTCTCTCTAGGGTCTCCACCTGTCAAGGGAAGATACTACAACATAATCCCCTTCTAGTTTTTCTCCTATCACAACACTTCATATCAAAAGCCAGTGTGAGCTGGAAACAGAGAACCAATGGGTTTAATCTTACATTTTGTTTTCTCCAGTTTTACTATGAGTTGGGGCAGTGCAAGCAGTGTGGCACCATAGTATGTGCACTGGCAAGTAGCTCCTGTATTCCAGTATTAAATCTACTCATTTAAAGGAGCAAAAAGTACCTCCAACAGCCATCAAGTTTAAGGGATTGGCTTAGCTTGCCTGCAAACAGATTGCTCTGTGATTTCCAGGCATCCCAAAAGCTAAGGAGAAATGCTGCTCACCCTGGGAGGACCTGAGAAGCCTTAGGAATTTATGTCATGGTATGGTACCACTGCTGGGGAGAGCTCATGCAAGGAAACCTCTTGGCACAGCTTTGCCTGTTGGGAACAGCAATTCCCAACCAGCTGTGGGATGTCAGGGTAAGGCCATATGGGTTTCAGCACCAGTGACTGCCACTGGTGCTAAAGGAGTGGCTCTGTGAGCTGGTGTCTATTGTGGTGCCAGCCTGAGGATGTGAAACTTGTTCTTATGAAAAAAAATTAGAGGTAACAACAACAAACAGCTTAGAGGAAATGTGCAAGCTAACTGCTGGTGTAAAAAGATTTACTGACCATAATACTTGGTTAATTACATTCATAATAAATAGATTCCTATACTTATCTGAGAATGTGGACAGCTTTATGTATTTACCTTGGATTTTGTGGCCTTAGTTAATCAATGGTCTGAAGTTTTAGATGAGATTCACTACATGAAAGCAAAGTAATCAAAGTTTGGGAGAGGGTTATTAAAACATTTCAGGTGATTGATATGCAGGGTATTATAAGCCCTTTGCCTGGATTGCAGCACTTCTTCAGTGTTCTGTTGCTTTTGTGTCACCTTTAGGAAAAAAATGCTTTTCTTTTTCTACAGGGCATACTTGGATGTCAATGAACTTAAGAACATACTCAAACTGGATGGATCCACACACCTCAACATCTTTTTTGCCAATTCCTCTGAGGAAGAGCTGGCTGGAGTGGCAACTTGGCCCTGGGACAAAGAAGCCTTGATGCATCTAGGTGAGTGATAAAGATGTTTCTTCTTTGCAAAGCATTCTTTTGAGGCACTAAGAAGGAAAGACAAATATGCGTTAAGCTCTGTTCTGATTTCTTATCATTCCTCTTATATATAGTCAGGGGAAAAAAAGTATTTCATGATTCCCAGATACTGGCTCACAACCAGGAAAATATTAGGTTATAAACCCAAAGCATATTATGGTATTTGTAGATGATGTCAAGCTGAAAGTATTTCACCTTTTCAGTGAAGCTACTTTACAGGGCATTCACTCCATGGGAGCAGTTTGCAGAAGGCTGGGGGATAGGTGTGGGGATGAGAGAGAGGTGAATCTTTAACCTTAGCCTGTTACATTCTGATCCTTAGTTCATTAGCAAGTAATCAATTAGCTCACAGACTGTAGCTAAAATCTGCTGCTATTTTTCTCTACCAGTGTGCAAAAGAGCAAACAGCTGAGGGATTGTATTTCTAATGTTCACTTGAGTGGAACTGGAAGGAGTTCACTACCCTGCAGATTGCCTGGTGTGTTTCATAACCAGGTTGCTGCTGGAACCTGGGGATCCAGACAAAGCTCTGCAGCCTCCCAAATGACTCACTGCCACCTGCAGTGCCACTGGACCTGTGCTCCCTGCAAAACGTCAGAGGAGCTTCAAAAGATTCAGAAGGCACTGACTGAGTCAGTGTGAGCTTCTTCTAACTTCACAAACCTCCCTCCAGCTGCAAACCTGGTCTGGTCATCTCCTCTGAGCAGGAGGTCACATAGGTTTTTCAGATATTTCACCAGTTCATCCAGACTCTCCTAGGCTGGAAGTGAAGTCCAGTTTAAGCCAAGTTAAATCTGTGATAGACAGTTTCAGCCAGTTTTTTTATTACCCAACCCCATGTTGAGCTAAATAAAAAAGATATGGTGACTATAAACCTATATGAGGAGAACAAGCAGCGTTTATTATCCTAAAACATACAATGGAAGTCGAACTGTGTGGAATAGCCATTAGTCAGGGGGGCTTTTCCAAGGACAAAAATACCCCAAAGATGGGATGTAACCATGTCTTTATGCCTGTTTCTGCAGCAGAGAGAGGCTCCGTGGTCAGACCAAGCAGTTGGCACTGGCTGCCCTCCTTCAGTTTATTAAATGTTTTATTACAACATCCAGCTCTGCAGCTGCTCTGGAAGAAGTGTGAGCAAACTTCCCTTCCCAAGGAGCAGCATTTACACACTGACACTCCTGCTGAGCTCAGCTGGAACTGAAACCACTTCCACCCTGGCTTGCCTGCAGCCTCATCTCTGGGGCTCCTACTGGGAGTGCCCACTGCAGAAGGCTCCTGTAAATGCCCAGCAGTGACCATGCCCCAAGACAGCATCTGGCAAAAACAAAGATAGCTCTTAACCCCAGCCTTGACCAGCACCCACAGTGACGGGGTTTCTATCACTTTGGGATGACAACCAGCGTGGATTGCTGGTTGTGGGTTTGATCCTTGTGTGGGCCTTTTGCTGAAGAGTTGGACTTGATGATTCTTGTGTGACCCTTCCCAGCCCAGAAGGGTCAGATATTCTGTGAAACATTAGCCCCAGTGTCACTGCACAAGTGGGATATGGCTGCAATGTAGCTGCTCCTTCCCTAAATGAGGATTTTCACAGCTTCCCTTGGTGTTGCCATGGGAGGGAGCAGAGAACAAGGGGAGGGCTCCAGAGTGCCAAGAAGAACCTTCTGCAAGAGGGCTGGGGCTCGCCCAAAGCCCTGATGAGTTCTTCTGTCACTTCGTTAAGCTAATTGTCAGCATCATGCCTGAGCAAAACAATTTAAATTCAGCTCCTACAGAGCATTGACAGAGTTCATTGACCAAAAAAAAGATCTCACAAGGAAAAAATAGACATTGGACAGCAGATTAAATTTTACTTGCTAGGAGGAAAAAAAAAAAAAGTAAAAAATAAATAAATAATGCTCATAATTTCCTGTCATAATAGCCCTCCCAGACCTGTGCTTGGTTTGTAAGAATTCATCTTTAATCTTTTTTACTCTCTTCTATAAATTCAATATGTACTTAATAAAAAATATGAAATATGTCCTGTGGTGCAGATCTAAAGGCTGGGATAGAGATTGTCTGGGTGAGGGAGTTTATCTTTTCTGTAAAACTGCAATTGATTTAGATTCTTGACAGCTATAAAAAATATAAATTTTCAACAAAGGCAAAAATAAAATCGCCCTCTCCAGCTGCCTCGGGGCTCTCCAATGCCAGAACAATTTAACCAGCCTTTACTTGAGGCACATCCTGCTGAGGAATTTCACCAATATTTCTGCCACTGGAAAAAAAAAAAAAAAAAAAAAAAAAAAAAAAAAACAACAAACCCAAAAAAAATCCTCTGGAATTCTTTTTGGGATAGAGAACCCCAAAAAATACGTCAGGGTACTCTCTGTGTATAAATGGCTCCACCTGGGTAGAGACCAAGCACCAGAGGAATCAGAGCTTGTATTGTGTAGAAGGGGAGAGAGAGAAATCATGGGTTTATTGTTGAGATGCATGCTGGTAGGTCTGTATATAATTAATTGGGAATGTGGGGAACTGGTGTGAGGAACAGTTCAGTGCTACGTGTGGCATAGGAGACAAGATGCTGCAGTGTGGCAGATTTTATTTATTCTTTTGTGTACATATTTACGTTTTCTGTTCTCTTCTTTTAAATAGTTTTTATCGATTTGTACCTGCCCATGGGACTCCTCTCCACCCTGTGCACATTTTCACATGTGTCCCTGCTCAGAGGGAAGATTTTTTTCTCCGGATATTTTGTGCATGTGTCCCTGCAGGACGTTCACAGTGCTCCTTCAGCACTGACACAGCTTCAACTGAAGTGTTACATGTTGTGTTTTGGATATTGTTCTTAGAGGAAAACCTGAGGTAATGGGGAAAATCAAAGCAGAACCACAGTCAGGGAGGTCTAGGAAAAAGGTTGAGCTCCAGGGAAAGACTGAAGGGATTACAGTGATTCAGGCTGAAGGGAAAGAGCCTGAAGTGGGGATGATGACAATCTCATAAAAGTTGATGAAAGGGGAGGAGAATCTTCTGTTCTTCATATCCGTGTGAGGAAGGACTTGAAGTCATGAACTTAAATTGCTGAAAATCAATTCAGATTAGATGTGAGTTAAATCCTTGCAGCTGTAGGGATGCTGAGTGCTGACATTGATTGCTGGGGCAGTCATGTCATCAGGGGTTGTGAAGAGGCAACAGGCCAGAGTGTGTGAGGGATGGTACAGACCTAATTGGCTTGAGAGTGGAATTTAGAGGACTTCTTAAGAACTTCATGGTCTCATTTTCCTCTAATTTCATGGTTTTTACAACCAAGTCCCTAGGCAGATGAGGATGAAGGGTCTATGGTGCATCAGAACCCAGTGATCTCATCTTCCCTGTGCTACAACCACTGATAAAGTTCCTGCTGCCAAAACCTTTTCTCTCCTCATTGTCACTAAATTATTAGAGTACCATGTCCAAGATCTATATTCCCACTATAACTTTTACAAAGCAGTCTCCTCTTCTCATGGTAAGCAGGACACAAAAAGGGTATTAAATATAGGGCTTAGAAAAGTTAGATCAACAAGCTAAATAATGAAAACATCAATCATATTTTAAATACAAAGGTACATCTAACTGAGCTAAAAATATAGTTCATATTATTAATTCAATGTACTGCAAATCCTCACTAATTTGCCATTTGCTTATTTGCACATCCCTTAATTCATACAACAGAAAACACCGTTAGTTTTCTTTGCAAAAAACATTTAATAACCACATAGTTCTTTCAGGGTTATCACATTCCAGGATTTCATATTTTTTTGACACTTTAGACTTAATGCATATTCATTAGTGGACTGTGCAGTTCAGATCAAGCCAGGCTTGTCTGAATACATGAACAGTGTGTTTCTGACAGTTACTTCAAAGCTGCCTCCAAGACACCCTGAAAAAAACTGCTCCAGCCTTGGATGTGCACACTTTGCTTTGCCCAGCTCTTAATTTGCAAGTATTGGTGGAGTATTCTGCAATTCTCAGGGTGTTTCAGAAGTTAATAGGCTTTTCTCACATCTTTACCCTGGGGAATATTATACAGAGTGTTCCAGGTGTGTTTTGTTTGACTCTTGATGTCATATATATTGCTTACACCTTTCTGGGCAGAGTCACACTCTTTAAGCACATGAAATTATCTACAATAGCATAGTAAGAAGTAATTTCATGCAGGATTTTCCTCTAAGTTAACAAAAAACCTACAATGAGTTTATTCAATTGAAAGAATGGTTGTTGCAGTGTTTTTGGTTTGGGATGTCGAGCTTTGTCCCACAGTTCCTCCTCCTTAGAGCCCCAGATTAAGGGTGAGATGAAACTTTGCTGAGCAGGAAATATGTCTGATTCTTCAAAAAACTGTGCTACAGAGGATCCAACAAACTGCCAGAGGAGCTACCCTTAGGAAGCTGTTCTTTCCCCTTTCTCCTGCTGTCCTGAGGAACACAAGGCAAACCTAGAAGCCATTCTCTTTCCCCTTGCAGGTGGCATCGTTCTGAATCCCTCCTTCTACGGAATCCCTGGCCACACACACACCATGATCCACGAAATTGGGCACAGCCTGGGGCTCTACCACGTCTTCAGGGGCATCTCTGAGATCCTGTCCTGCAGCGACCCGTGCATGGAAACAGAGCCCTCCTTCGAGACTGGGGACCTCTGCAGTGACACCAACCCTGCTCCTAAACACAAGCTGTGTGGGGACCCTGGGCCTGGCAATGACACCTGTGGTTTCCACAGTTTCCTGAACACGCCCTTCAGTAACTTCATGAGCTACGCAGGTACTGGCCTTTGCTCGGGTTGCTGGGGGGGGTCTGTGACTGAGCAGGAACAAAGAATTGTGGTTTACCCTTTATCACAGAGACAGGTGATCCCCCAGCTAGGGAATAATGTGCTCTGACTCCATGATTCAGAAGGCTGAACAATTGCTTTATTAAGCTATACTATATTACACTAATACTACACTATAACTATACTAAAGAGATACGCAAGAAAACCCCGTGACTGTCTCAGACAGCCAGGACACAGCTTTGACCTAATTGGCCAATCAACCCAAACAATCATCACCTTCAGTAAACAATCTCCATAACACATTCCACATGTGCCAAAAAACAGGAGCAGCAAATAGAGGTAAGAATTGTTTTCTCACTGCCTTCCCCAGGAAAAATCCTGGGAGAGAGAATTACGGCTCTCTCTCTTCAGAGATTGTGAATACCACAACTCCTGATTTCTCAGTCCGTTTCTTTATGCTGATAAAGGTCTAGGTCCTGGCTTGATGAGGGATCAGACCTGATCAGAAATAGATCAGAAATCCCTTCTAGTTCTCCTTTTCTTTTATCCCAGTTTTTCCCAAATTCACAGAGTTTCATGTGAAGACCAGGCAGAAGGTTTGGGGGATGGAAGAAATGAGATAAGCATTAAGAAAACAGCTTCTAAAGGCTCTACAGCAAATCTGACACCCTATTTCTCTGAGATCTGGATGCCTGATCTATGAGGTCTTTGAAAAACTCAAATCCAGAGACTGTTTATACTCTCCTGAGGAGATATAGAATGTCATATGAATATTGATACCATCAAGGCTGTCAGATAACCCTGTGACAAGTGGACAACTAATGAGGCACTGCCCATGCCTCCAGGTGTCTGTTGCAATGCCATGTTTAGGTTTGATTTGGAATCACATCCCAGTTCCATCCTTAGCATGTGAATAGTGGGATTCTGCCTGGCCAAGGACTACCAGTGTGCTGTGCTGGTTTGTGCTGGGAGTGCAACAACAGAGGCTCCATATCAATGTGGTATAAGCACCCCTCAAAGCAAAAGCTGATGTGGTTACAACTCTCAGACACAGCTCTGCTGATCAGATGTGCATTCTCCCAACAGAGCATATCCCAAAGAGGGCATTTGCTCCTGTGACCCTGTCCCATTGGATGAGACTGGAGTGGGGACACTGATGCACCTCTGGAAGCTCAAGGAGAGCTGAAAGCTACTCTGCTATTTCTCAGAAAGAGCAGGGGATACCATGAGTCGTATTTCCCCTTATTTTGGGCTGCAGGGTCTCTCTGTGGTGACAATCTATGACAGTGAGCTGACAGAATCAACAACATTTTAAAGGCAACCAATATACTTACAGACACTGAAGGGCACCTTTATACTCCAGGCAAAAACACAGATTTCCCACTCAAAAGGTCACAGGAGTGCTTATTCTGTAATAAAACTGTAGAGAAGCAAAGTGTTTAATGTCATCTGGGGCATGGATTGAAATGGTTTATAACCAAAATGCTTTTATGCCCTTTGTGGCACTAGCTAAAAGCAATGCCGAGTTTTCTCTCTATTTTTCTATTTGTTTAGAGGGTGCTTTCAGGGACAAACACACCGAGTCAGCTCCTCAGTGTGCTCTGTGCTGTGGTGCCTGTGGTCAGGCAGGGAGCCTGAGCACCAAGTCCAGCCCCATGGTAACATCCCTCAGATGAGACAGGGCCACTCCAGATGACAAAATACCCCCGCCAAATCTGCTCGTGTGGATGTGGTGAGCGGTGGAGCGTGCCTGTTTCAAAACTCTGAGCTCTTATCTTCCAAGGAGAACGTGCCTTGCCAGCTGACTCGGGAGCTGAGGCAGAGGCAGACCACAGAGATACCCATCTGCTCCTAGGAGCTACATGTGTGCTGGTGTTCTGAGCTGAAACCTCGTCTTTTTCCTTGAAAAATTAAGTGAAGCAACATGATAGATATCTCTAGAGCTCAAGCATGAATCTGTTTGCTTTTCTGTTGTTGCCAGTGGAGTAAAATATATCAGGATATCAAATTGCTGTCAAAATACCTTTGAAACATGTAGGTTGAGGTCATGCAGTTCTAGGAATTGCCTTTTTTTCATTTCTGTTTTGCTGCTCATGTACAGCTTGATCCTATTGTATTTGTCTGTCTGTTCCTGTCCAATCCATCTCTCCAGCTACCCCCAGCACTGAACAAAGCACAGACTTTGACTTATAATTTTTATTTTTCCTGGAATAACAAGTTATAATGGCCAAAAGATTAGGTAGTGTGAGAAATAGGACTTGTAAATTATTTTTACAAGTCCAAATAGATGTGGTGTTCCCAAATAAAAGATAAGTTAGTATTTTAGATGACTTTTCATGAAATCATTACGAATTCTTCCTCTAAATTCTGTTGGAGCAATCATCCCAGCAAAGTATAGGATTTCTCTAATTATTGCTTTATCTCAGGATCTTGAACCTTTCTTGATATTGAGTGGAACACCTTTCTCCCTCGTCTCTCCTCCCTTCCCCTCCCCCTGGACACAGGCTATGCTGATGTTTAAACAGATTGAGAATGCAGGTCATCTTTCTCCTGTGCCATTGTCCCACTGCTTTGTCCTATATATATTTTATTGTTCTTTTATGATGGCTATTAAGGGCCTTTGTCTCCTTCTGTGCTTCCGTGAAGAATATTTATGGCTTTTACAACATGCTCAGGGGTAGACCATCGATAATTATTGAGGAAATCCAGAGATGTCACATTAAAGCAGATTTTGCATACCCACAGGGATTTGTAGATATTATCAAGAGGACAGTGTGTCTATCTGCTGTGCATGTTTGATCAGAGGAGTGTCACTGCTCAGAGGAATTGGGAGAGACACAGGAAAACACGTGTGCTGGTGTGTCCCTACTGTGGGAGGGCTGCTGGATCCCGACTGGAGCCATCTCCTTTTGCCTGCATCTCTGGGAAGATGCGGCCAGGTTTTAAATTAGCCAGCAAATACTCATTTGTCTTTAGAAGAAATTAATATTTTCTTGTTCCTCTGGAGTACCACAAGGCATGGACTTGCAAACATCAGAGCACCTCCTAACACTGTCACAATATTGAACTTACACAAGCAGCCTCTGGTGACCTGCATCTTCCCAGAGAAGTGCAGCACTTGACCTGTGCAGAACTGTCATTGTTGTTTGGATCCCAGCTGGGACTGAGCTCTGCCAGGCTGGGAACTCTGCAGGCACATGTGAAGAAACACTCTGTGTTTTCAAGAGCTTTTCATCTGATGGGAAGAACACCAGAAAAATGGTTGAAGTGCTTAGCATCAAGTTCCTCAGCATAGCTTTGCTGGGTGACTTTGCACAACATATTTATTCCCTCTGGGATCTGCACAATAGAGAAACAGCAATTTTCTACTTCTCTGGGGCACTGTAGTTGTAAAGCTGTATGGTGTTCAGAGGGCACTGGATGTGTTCTTGTTGCCAAATCATGTTTGAGGAAAACAAGATGAAATGAGAAATGGATATTTATGGGAAGTTATCCAGCATAATTATTCCTCCATTTTGAATGAAAAAGAAATAAGAAATATCAAGAAATGTTTGTGAAAAGTTCAGAAAGGGGTTAGAATCATAGTGGTAATGAGGGAGAATTTTATAGAACTAAAGTTATTTTCTGCACCAAAAACATACGTTTTTATCAGTGTTTGAAATTATATTTTGAATTGAGGTTTCAGAACATTTTTATTTGCTCATTAGAAAATTTAAGAACTTTAAAAGTTATGTATTTTAAAATTCTATGGTGTTTTAATCTGAGAGATCTGATAGTCTGTTGCCCTTAGTTTGCATGACTACCAGTCAGTATTTTCTCCTTTACTCTTCCATCTTCCTTATCTCTTTCTCAGAGATATTCTTTTAAATGGGAACTGCTTTTAAACCCAGAGCTCCACTGGTGGCCCAAATCCTGCCCAGAAGGTGCTGCACAGAACCTTTCTGTTTCTTCCCCTCCATGTCTCTGCCTGATTTAGAGATGATCTCTGGGTGCTTCAGGTGTATCCCAGGTCAGGGGGAGGGAACGTTTATTGATTTATTTCCTTCCTTTTTAACCATTGTTTCCTTTCACCTGCCTCCACAAGTGATGGCTGTGCTAATTCCTTCACAGCCCATTAACTCTGGAGTGCTGTGGGATCCCAGCCCGGCCTTTCCAAGCAGCTGCCATTCACGAGGTCGTAATTCTTCCCCTTGCTCCCACCTCCTGTCCCACGTGGCTGACGTGGCTTCTGTTTGAATTCCAGACGATGACTGCACCAACTCCTTCACGCCCAACCAGGTGGCCAGGATGCACTGCTACCTGGACCTCGTCTACCAGAGCTGGCAGCCCACCAAGAAACCGGCTCCCGTGGCAATTGCCCCCCAGATTGTGGCTCGCACCTCCACCTCTGTCACCCTCGAGTGGTTTCCACCCATCGATGGCCACTTCTTTGAAAGGTGATCATGCTCTGCTCTGTACTTTCATGCTGGAAAAATGGGAAGGGGAGAACTGGAGGCCCCACTCCAGGAGCGCAGCTTGGTCATGTGCTGTGCTCAGCCTGGCTTAAGGCTCTTTCCTAAATTGGTTCATACTGAGGAGGTTATTGATCTGTTGTCTGCTCTTCCTTTCTCAGCCTGTAGCACTCAGTTGAAGGCCATTGATTTGCCATGTAAAGGGCAAATCTTTCTCCATATGTTATGGGAGGAATTTTCAATCAAAGATTCTGGCCCTGTGATTCCTGCTGTTGTTGCTGCTCACGAATACCTGTGGGTTTCAGCTGTGCTTGCGTGTTCCCCCCTCCTCCCCTTGCACATTCCCTTTGCAAGGACAAAGTGGATCTTGTTTTAACAACACAGAGCTCATGGGCAAGGAGGTGGCTGGACTGGGGACAGGGACAAATGCTGCCTCCTCCCCTGAGCTGTAGATGTAAGATGGGAATTGAGCAAGGCAGAGTCAAAGTCCCAAACCCCTGGATAGGATGTGAATCTCCTGTAGGTCAGTGTAGGGGTGTGTATTCCTGTCTGGCAGGCGTGCAGCTACGTGATATCAATAATGGGAAATGGAGGGCTCTGGGCGGGAGTTGCACCTCATTGCAGCCCATATTCAGAGCAATTCTGCCCCAGTATGACCTGAGTAACTGGGTAGCTCATCTAAATGCTCTTATGCAGCTCTTGGATGAGCCGCAGGAGCTATGGGAGTCCTGGCAAAGAACTTCCCAAATCACTGACCTTCTCGCATTACCATTAACTCACATCCCCGTTTGCACTTCTTCTCCACCTCTTGCTTTGTTGTTTTATAGAGAGCAAACTTGGAGTGTCCTTCAGGACCGCAGCAGTTCAGAGCACAGGAGGCCAAATTTACAAGCGTATTAGCACCCAAAAAGCTGCCTCAGCATTGCACTGCTGCTTTGTGCTGGGAGAGCACCTTGAAACCACCGCCTCCATCAAGGATGAAACTCCTTCCAGCACTGCTAGTACACCATGGCCATTTCAGTGGCCAGCTTGTGCTTTATTCCACTAGGCAGAGAGCAGTTATTTTCTGCTCAGATGAGATTTTCCTCCCTTATTGCAGATTAATATGGGGAGGGAAATCAAATCCTGTTAGGAATTGATAAAGAGAGGTCTTGTGCTCTGAACAGTGTTTGCTTTAATTATAGTTTTGTAACCAAATCCTTTTATTCCCTACCTGCGAAAAGGACTCATATAGTTCTGAAAATTAATTCAGAATTTTTCAGCCTATAATCATTTTTAGGTTAATTAAGTTTCTCCAATTTAATTTAGATTTCAGAAGATGCTTATTGTGTGTTAAATAAATGCCATCTGCCTCTAAAAAACACATTGATGCAGAGTTAATTGTTATGTAACCAAATATGACTTTATTACATATTTCTTATAACTCAATCAATATGTTCTTAATAACCTCTAGTTACTTGCTTCTTAAATAACACACAGTGGATAGCCTGTTAAATCTAAAATTTCATAACAGAGTTATCATATGTTAAATAAAGAGTGATTTTCCAGGAAAAAAAAGTCCTTTGGGTTTTCAAATCTGTGTGCTCAGTATTACTGAAGAGATTTAAAGAGACAGCCTCAAATACTTTGAGTCCAATTCCTTGTTAAAATGAGATTCCCACTGCTAACGGATACAGCAATGTTGCCGTGACCATTTAAAAATGTCACTGAAACATATAAATGATCCTGTCTAAAACATGCCCAAATTTTTGATCTGCTAATCAAAACAAGGATGATAGTATTATTCTAGTGACTAATCCTGGAAAAGCCCACGTGCTGAACTTCCAGAACCGCCGTGTCCAGCACTGCTCGGTCAGAGACTCATGCCTGTATCAATTTGTGAAATTGGGTCACTGTGCAAGACAAGTAGGAGGTAAAATTGGCCAAGTATAATCTTATCTGTGTGTGGGAATACTGTAAATCTTTGCAGATATTTTTACACAAAGTGAACACCATTGGCCCAAATTTTACTTGCCTCACTTGAATGAATAAACTCATTCACTTCAATGGGACTATTCATGTAAAAAACAGAAGACTGATACTCAGCTGCTGAGTGCCTTGGGCCTGGTTTCTAATGCACAGAGGCCCCTTCCTTGCTGTTTTGACAGTGTAAAAGGGCCTTCAAAGGATGAATGGCTCTGGCTACATTAGCAAGCGTTGTGGCCCAATAGAAGTAGATCCCCAGCGCAAAACAGTTGTTAATGAAGACCTGACGTCAACACCGCAGGGGCTGGGGGCTCACGGGGCTCCCACAGGAGCACATCAGGTGTGGTCCTGCAGCACACCTCCACTCTGGTTCCTGGTAAAACTGGGTCCAGCTTCCCTGCTCCAGGACTGTTCCGAGTGCTGGAAGCAGGGAACAGGAGGAATTTCACTCCCAGAGCTCACTGCTGATCCCAATTATGATGCTGCTGTGGGCGTGCTCGGCGTAACTCAAGTTCCTTTTATGTCTCTTTTATTCTCCAGAGCTGTGCACAGGCAGTGACCTCTGCTTAATGAAAGTCAGGGAGGGAAAATTTAGCCTTCTGTTTAAAAACGTAGCACTGGGCTGGCTGTGTCTGTGGGAGGTCCTGACAGGTTGACGGGAGATGAGGCATGGAAGTAAAGACTGTGTGTCTGTTCCCTGCTTAGATACAACTCTGTCATAGGTGAATTAGATGCTTTCCTCATAGGGTCTTAAAATCACCTGATTACTTATTTAGGGGCAGAGAACAAAGTTAACTCCTAGTTCCTGTAAATTTGGGGGTGGCTCTCCTGTGTTCTCACAATTTAGCAAAAGTAGACACAAGAGTTGTGCACAGGAGTAAAATCTTCCTGATGGACCCTCCTGGCCCCTTCAGAGTGTTCTATTGATATTTGCTCTCTCACTCTAGAGAGTCAGTTACCTGCATGTAAATTTGTCAAGATGCTTTGACCATAAGCTCTAGCAGCTGGTTGGGCTCCCAGACATCCCTAATAATAAAATATATCAAGAACCAGCATTTCTTCTTGTAGCTCCTGTCCACAGGATTGGAATCCTTCCCGTTCTCCATCCTCCCTTTCAAAAAAGCATGAAAAAATTCACACACAATAACAAGTAATAATAAAATAACAATAAAGCAAAAGAAACAAGTAAAAACAAGCCAGAAAAAGAGAAGTCCCTTCATTTCCTGACTGCATCCATTGGATGTGTTCATCTGCTGTCTCTGAACATCCATTCATGCACCTCCTGTCTGAGATGTGTGGGCAGATGTAAACAGTTATTGTCATGGGGCTGTGCAGCAAATTTGGGCAGAAATCTTTGAATGAATCTTTCTCCAAGTTTTCATTGAGGTGACAGCATTAATTTCCATGAATCTGATTCTATCTCATTCTTAGCAAGCAAATATTTTGGTCAGTGTGGTGTCCCAGAGATGGCTGGCCTTGATAATCACTCTGTTAAACCTTGCTGGAAAGTTTCAGTGCCTTAAAGGGGAGAAGACCAATCCTGAATTTCAAGTATAGCAGCTCAAATTTAGTCTGTAAACAGGCACACTTTACCCAAAGTAATGGCAGATTTTTAGTGGTTTTGAGTTGCCTACCGAATTGGTGCTGGCCCTGAAGGAAATGGTCTGGTTTGCACTAGTAATCTTTAGATTTTGAACCCACTTCACTGAAATATCATGCTGTAGGAATGAATTCCTCCTGTGCTCTGAACTTCATAAGTTGGAATTTCCCCAGTACTTGGCTTATTAGAAAACAGAGAAGTCTAGATTTTCCATTAGCCTGCACTTTGGGCAGTCATGTGCCACCGTGTATAAGGTGGCAGATATGGCTATCATTCCAATTAATACTGTTTTTTGAACCAATTTATGCTAATTTTTTTCTTGTTGTCTATGGCTTCATAAGGTATAAGGACCTGGCTTAGGTTTTCATAAGCCTGTAAATACAATTCCATTATTAAGTTTGACATTCATGGCTCTTTATAGGATTTGTGTGCAAGAGTCTGCAGACCAAAAACTCTAACCCAGGCGTCATCCCCTGTGTAAGTCCTTTCAGCCAGTGAAGTTACATCAGGGTTGAGTTTGGCTCCCAAACTGGAAAAGTAAAAAGAGAAAGTTTGCTCATAGCCTTTCCCACATGATGCTCCTTGTGATTTCTCTCTTACCTCCAAGTCCTCACTGGTAAAAGGAAATGTTTGTCCATAAGCCTACAGTTTTTTTCCACCATGGCAGCCTGTGATGAAATTGTATAGCTGCTAATTTGAGTAAAAAGCAGTCCTAATTGTGGAAACTTGGCTTCCAGAGCCCTCTCCTCATCCAGGACCAAGTGCTAATGCAGGAGTCTCTTTGTAGAGAAACTGAGGGATTATTGCAGGGACTTCTATACTGACTGGTCGTGGAAGTGTCTGAAGAACAACTGCAGAACAATAATTCTACATTTTGATTTCTCAGGACCATTTATTCAGGTTTCTTGATTTTTTAAAAAATTTTGGTTTTGCATGTATTATTCAGGCAAGCTGAGTCAGACACCTAAACCTCTGCTAAATAGGCAGCTGAGAAATGAAACAGGGAGGCAGTATCATGCCAGTGGTGCAGGTGGGTGAAGTGAGACACGAAGGGAAGTTACTCACAACATGCCCACATTTTTTCTTTACCAGTGTTACAGACCATGAAAGGAAGAGAGGGCCGCCTTCGTCTCCCTCTTCTATATTCTGCCCCGTTGCCACATTGTATTTTTCAGGTGTTTTCAGCAGGTGCATCCCTTCCTGAACTGCACAAGTTCAGCCAGTTGCTGTCTCTTTCAGGGTGGCTCAGCCACTGAGGATCCCAAATAACCTCTGCCTGAGGATCACAGTCCTCTCTTCACAGCAGTGCTGAAATAAATCATGCAGTGGTGGTAATGATGGTTAAGATTTGCATAGCTGATTATAATAGTTGATATAAATTATTTAATAATTTACTCAAGCCATTCTTACTAGAGTAGCACAGAGAGTACACTGTGTTACACACAAATTGCTTGCCTAAAACTTCTGTCCTTTCCGGTGCATTTGATCATTAGGATAATTAATTTTTAACTTTCCATTTCAGCGGAAAGTGTTCCTTAAAGCAGAACAATTAATTCTGAATAGCTTACTGGGGTAAATAACCATGTACTTTGAGTCATACAGGGTTCCAGATTTGTGACCCCAAGGAACATAGGGCTGAACTGTGTGAATTGCATCCTCAGCTGATAGAAATCAGCTTAACCTTATGGGAGATATTAGAGTTACTCCAGTCTACATCAACTTAAACCCTGATCTTGTGAATATGGTAGCAAAACTATTTAAACTGACTGAGGGTAGTTTTGGATTAGATTTTAGGAAGAAATTACTCCCTGTGGGAGTGGTGAGACCCTGGCACAGGGTGCCCAGAGCAGCTGTGGCTGCCCCTGGATCCCTGGCAGTGCCCAAGGCCAGGCTGGACAGGGCTGGGAGCAGCCTGGGACAGTGGGAGGTGTCCCTGCCATGGCAGGGGGTGGAACGAGATGAGCTTTAAGTCCTTTCCAACCCAAACCAATTTGTGATTTGTGAATTGGTGTTTAACTGGATATCCCTGCTCAGCCAATCTTGCTGGTAGGACAATCCTAAAGATACTACAAGTTCAAGCAATAAATAAATCCATGGTGAGAGCAGAAATAGATCTGAAAACACCTGAGGCAAATTTCTCTGCTCTAACCCATAAGCAATGTGTGTTTTCTTTTGTCATGGTTTGGTCCAGTGAAGGGGGGGGGGTGGGGGGGAATATAGGTGAATGTGATTTCCCAGGTTGCTGTCATTTTGCGTTGGATAGAGGGCTCAAAAATGCTTTCTACATAGGCTCTTGACTTAAATCTACAGAAGGTCAGCATCAGAAAACACTTTTGTCAGTGCCTTGAGAAAAGGGGGTTAAGTGGACCTGAATTCTAAGTCTTATTGCTTTTAATATAGTTGAATAAGCAGCTCATTCAGCTGTTACTAAGTTGGTGTGTTTTCCTGTTTTCCTGGCCTCCTAGAGAAGTGGGATCAGCATGTGATCTGTGTGCAGAAGGAAGAGTCCTGGTGCAATATGCCTTCAGTGCCTCTTCTCCCATGCCCTGCGATCCCTCGGGGCACTGGAGCCCACGGGAGGCAGAAGGTGAGTCACAGGGATGGGAACAAACACATGGTGGGAGGGAAGGTGGGACAGAGCAAAGGGAGAGCCACAAAGACAGTGGGAAAATCTGGGAATGATTTGTTATATCTGCATGTAACCTGGACAGAGCTAGCGGGCAGAGGAACGCTGTGCCCTGAAGGAATGCCACTGGCTCAAATACCTGTGTTTTGGCCCCTGAGTCCTGCCCCTGCCCATGAATTAAGTGAATTCCAGGAGCTGAACATGAATTTCACAAAGCAGCAGAGTGCCAAGAAATGCTGACCGTTCACATCTGCCAGACGAATTCCTCAGGGGAGCTGTTTTCTCCCTCTACTCCAACTCCAAAAGTGAGGAGTTGTTATTTATTTGGGCCTGATTTGTGCTGCCTTCACTTGTGGTGAATAGCAGCAGGCTGCAGCAGCAGCCAGGCTGGAGGGAGGTTGCCCTTTGGGCAAGTGCCCTGAAGCAGGAATGCAGGTGACCACGTCAAGCCCTCTTGTTCAGGGTGTTTTGCAAGTCATTCTCTTGGAGCCTGTTGCAGGGAGAATGGTCTGCAGGGCTGGTTGTGCAGTGCCATTAGATCTCCATCATTAACTCCTCCACACGTCCCTTCCGTTACGTCCCTGGGTGTATGTGGTGGAGCATATTTAAGATTGTACCAGGCAAAGGTCAGTTATCCCAAATCACAGTTTGGAAAGAGCAGAGTATTATTTCAGCCTGTGCCTCACGAGCTTTTGCTTCCGGAGCAGCCACACTTCACCATGAGCACACAGGTGAGCTCACTGAGCCCCAAGGACAATCCTGGATTTCGCAAACTCATTCTACAAATACCTCCCCGTGTTAAGGGTTTATCTGTCCTGCAACTAAAGCACATGGGAGTTATTCTGCAAGGAATATTATTTAGGCAGGAGCTCTCCTTGTCCTAAGGTCAGCATGTGGAACGAGCTGTGCCCCTGCTGCTTTATGGGACAGTGGTCAGTGTCCTCTGCCCCACACACCTGTGTCCCAGGGTGGGAGTCCAGCAGAGGTTGTGTTTCACTCTGACTCACCCCCTAAATTTAGAACAGGTGGCCCAGAGCAGCTGTGGCTTCCCCATTCCTGGAAGTGTCCAAGGCCAGGTTGGACGGGGCTTGGAGCAACCTGGGACAGTGGAAGGTGTCCCTGCCCATGGCAGGGGTGGAACTTTAAGGTCTCTTCCAAAGCAAACCATTCCATGGTTTTAGGACATCCAAGGCTGCTGGGCACAGCTAAGAGCACACCTGACCTGTGGGTGGAAGCTCCATCCTGGGAAGCAGTGCTCTGGGTATGGGGGTGATTGGATCACCCAATAAACAGCATTAGCAAAGTTTGGATCACTTGCAGTAGTAGTTCAGGGTAGACGGTGGAATTTCCACTTAGACAAGGATTACAAGACTTTGAAACCTGTTTTCATTTGGAACAAAACTTGAAACTTTTGAAATTCTCCATGAAGGAAAATTAAAAACAAAACGTGTTTGAGGCTGGCCAAAATGTTTTGTTTAGCTCATATGGACTTTGGTTAAATTATGACAGTCGAAAATATACCCTTTTAGTATAGAATCTAGGGCAAAAGCAACTTTGAATATCAAAATGTAAAGTGTTTCAAGGTGCAAAAGTGAAAAGGTTTCTCACAAAAATGTCAAAACACAATGTTCCAATAGTGTTAAAAATTTCTTGCCATTTTCCCTTCCAGGATAAAATTTTGGCCAAATAAACACAATTTTGCAAAGTGTTTTTATTTTGAAAGGACTGTGTATTCCATTGAAATATGCAGTTCCATCAAAATTTCTTCACTGAGCTTTGATTTGAAAACTTCTAGATCTCACACGTCTTGCCAGAGGCATCATTCCTAGAGAAACTAAGCTACTCTAAGATTTATTACTCAGCAGCATTTTGCATTTAATTTCCTCTTCTTGCTGTGTGTGCCTGCATGTTCTTAACTATGAAGGGTGCAGTCTGATCCTTATCTGTCTCATTTAGTTGCTCCTGTGCCACTTCTATGGAACAGAAATTTGGTAATCATGTCCTCAGGATTAATGAGTTGTTGCCACTTTAGGGTAGAAAATATACCGAGTGTATGGTGTTTGTTGCTCCATGATTTTCTGTCTCCACTACCACACTCCCTGACACTCAGGCCCTCTGCCTATTTGCACTTGCTCTGAGTTACAAATAGAAGTTAGATCATTGTCTGGCTTCTTTAATTGTCTATCTGTGACTGCTCAAGCCATCAAGCTTTGAATTCACTTTCTGCAGGGGTTTTTGGGTGTAAATCTCCACTGCTTGAATGTCCGTGGAAAATGAAGACAAAGGAGGCACAAGCACGGCCAAAATGAATTTGTTTTAAAATCTGAGATGACACTGATGGAAAATGTTCCGTAGGACTCATCCAGCTTCTGAGCAGAAAACCACACTCCTCACGTTTCTCTGGAGCAGCTCTGGTTGGTCTGATCTCATTTTCCTGAGGTCTCCTACCCCAGGCAGCTGCACCAGCAGTGGTCTTGGGCTATGTGGGAGCTGTGCCCATTGCAAAACCCTGCCGTGGGCAGTGTCCTTCCTAATTCCCTGCTCATTCCTGAGCATGGTGGGATCCAACATCAAGGCTGAGGCATCTTGTGGTTCTTTCTCAGCCAGCTGTGGCCCCTGAACGAGGGGTTGTGAGAAGGCTCATGAGATCAGGCAGCTCTGATTTACTCTTTATCTTCTCTGTAGAGCCAGAAGGCTCTAACCTACCTGGATTCTCACCAGCAGCACCAGCTAGGTCAACAAACCTTACAGCACCTCCATAACTCTGTCAAAGGGGGGTTTTATGTAAGAAAGGTGATTTTGGCTCAAGCCCAGTGGGTACCTTTGCTTGCTGTGCAATATGTGCATATATCAGTCAGTTCCTCCTGCCTGGCTCACTGCTGACTGAGAGAAGTGTTAGATTATTATAAAAATGTTGTTGCCTTGCACTGCTCTAGAGCTCAGCCTTTTCCTGGGTCTAATATTTCCCTCAAGAACAATTCCTTCTGTGTCTTAATAGTCTCAGCTGGACACTGGAGTCCCATTGGGTGGTTCCTTTATCTTGACCACCTAAGAAATATGGCAGGTGAGTTGCAGTTTTAGCAGGGGTGATATTCTGAGAGACTTCTGATGCCAGTTGGCTTCTGAGACTCTGTCCCTGTGCTGGGGAATTCATCCCAGGGACTGCACTTAACTGCACAATGAAGGATCCACACACCAGGCTGTAGGACAGCATTTCAGGGAAAGGCACCCTCCTGCCATTCCTGCTCTCCAACCAGGACATGGGGTTTGGCTCTTCCTCACAAACCTCACATTCCTGTTTTGTGTTAGGCAAGACGTGATGTTGCATGAGATGCTGTTCTGTGTCTGATCTGTCTCATAAGGCAAAGGATTTTCAAAATCCGAGTGCAGAGGGAAGAATAGCTTCTATACTCTTTCTTTTAACATAAAAATATTCGTAATTTTCAAAGTATCTACCTATCTCTAGAAGTCCACTTATATGAAAAAAGGTTTTCATCCTCTTCCATAGTTAAATGAATCTTTCTCACCCAGGTCTAAGTGTTGAATAATATTTAAGAAAGAGTATCTTTATCTCAACTTCATTGAGGTTTTTAGTTTATGAATGACTACAATCTGCCACCTGTTTTGGGGTAATGCTCTGAGTGCTAAGCTCCCTAGAGGCTGAGTCCAATTCATGCCTCTCCAGGGATTGCACACTGATCTACCAAAACGTGCAGGTTTGTTTGGAACTTAAGTCTTACTGAGCCTTGAACTGACAGAGGTGAATTTGCAGGATCCCAGGTGGGGACGTACTGGGCCGTGAGCCATTAGCTCCATTTTCTTTTCTGTGAGAGGGCAGTGGTAAAATTCACACATCTTTCCAAAAGCCCTCTGAGATACTGGAGTTAAAAAAGACCTTAGGGCTGCAGTCAAGAGTTTGCTGTGGGTCTGAGAAAGTCGTCAGAGGGCTCAGCCAAGCACACCCAGCTGGCAATGAGGGTGAGATAACGTGAGCTGAATGGGGTATTGCTGCTCACAGTGATTATCCACTTGCCAGGGGGGAGACTCGAGCGTGTTAAATGGGCCTCTGGCTCTCTTCAAAACGTATCACTGCTGTGGTCTCTCCAGATGCTGGTCTTAGTGGCATTCCCGGTGCTCTGTGCCATGTGAGGAGGAGAGAGGGGCTCTGGGATATGGGAGGTGAAGGGGAAGCATGAAAAGTTGGGCATCTGCAGGACAATAACGTTGAATCACAGGAAGGCTGCCAGGAAATCTATTCTGCATCTGGGTTCATTTGGTATGAACAGGAGAATTCCCTGAGCTGTTTATCCTTGACAAAAGAGACACATTTCTAACACTTCATTGAATCACAGACAATCAGAATAACCTTCACACATTGCCCTTTTCTCTTTAAATTGGTAGTGATGTCCTGTTTGTCCATGTATGCCCAATAGTTTATCTTGCTTTTTCCTCAGCTGCAAACAACTGTGCTGTCCTTTTTTTCCCCTCTGCCTTCTGCATTTCTCTCTTCTCATTACCTTTCTTTATCTTCTTTTCTGTACTTTGCCTTCTCCCTGTCATGCTTGCCTCCCTTTTTGTGTGATTATTTGGGAAGGAAAAGGGAATTTATAGCTCTCACTGGATTCTGTTACCAACTGTTCCACCCGTCTGACCCCTCTGGATCTTGCAGTCCATGACTCCACGCCAAGTTGTAATGTTACCATAGTATTTGGGAACCCAGCAAGCATTGTGGCTTTCATTATTTTTTAGTACTACCTCCCATGTAGTTGAACACAGCCAATGGTGAGAAGAGTAAAAGCACAAGTGCCTGTTGTTTCATCACAATGAGAGCAAAGAGACAGCTCAGACCTGTGCTTCATGTGCCTCCAAAAAAGGGGCCTTGCACAACATGCTAGATCAACCTGTAAATGCCACAGGAGTTGCCCCTGAACAGCACAACTGCTTCTTGGAACAAACAAAGGCTCTTTTCTTGTCTTTGTTAAAGGGAAAAAGATTGTATTTTTCAATGGGAGGCAAGGGAATAAGTAGGAGGTGAACTGGAGGCAAAGTGACTCTGTTTATCAGGTAAATTACCAAGTGGAAGAGGTAGAAAATACCATTGTTTGGCACAGGGCAAAACACTAGAAATAGGAAATACAGGCCCAGCTGCACTGGCACACAATGTGTTTTGTGGTGTCCAGTCCAGCTGGGCACTTAAACTGGGTTTGTGTATCCCACCTGGCCAGGAGACACTGGTGTTCTGTTCCTCCTCTCTGTGCTGGCCCTGCCTGTTCTGATGAAGTAAATAATTGGTTTCCTGGACAGATATGTTCTCTTGCCACCAGTCTGTCTTTAAACTGATGCCAATGAAAACTCATGTTCTCTAACTTCTACTTCTTCTGTGCCTTCTCTTTGCCTCCTCCTTCCTTTCCAGGGCACCCTGACGTTGAGCAGCCCTGTAAATCCAGTGTCAGGACGTGGAGTCCCAACTCGGCCGTCAACCAGCACACGGTGCCCCCAGCCTGCCCCGAGCCCCAGGGTTGCTACCTGCAGCTGGAATTTCGCTACCCCCTGACTCCAGAGTCCCTCACAATCTGGGTGACATTTGTTTCCCCAGACTGGGACTCCAGTGGAGCAGTGAATGACATCAAGCTGCTCACCGTCAGTGGGAAGAACATTTCGCTCGGGCCACAGAACGTCTTCTGTGACATCCCACTGACCATAAAGCTGGATGTGGGACAAGTGGGAGAGGAGGTGTATGGGATCCAGATCTACACCTTGGATGAGCACCTGGAAATCGACGCTGCCATGCTGAGCTCTGTCCCCCACAGCACCCTGTGCTCAGGCTGCAAACCGATCCAGTACAAAGTGGTCCGGGACCCCCCTTTCCAGTCTGGATCTCCAGTGGTCATCTCAAACCTCAGCAGGAGATTTGTGGACACGTAAGTAGCTGCTTTCCAGAGAGCTGGATACATCAAAACAATGCCCTGCTCTTCTCATCCATTTAATGTCCAGCACTACAAGTGATTGTTGAGGTGTTGAAGTAGACAGACATGCCAAGAATTACCAAGTCAGGATGTCCGCATAGTTTGTCCCTGAAATGAGGAGCATTAAACCTGAATGAGATAACCTGAGATTTCATGGAGAGTTTTTGAGAAATTTCTGGGCTGTCTGTACAGAGATGTGTCATTCAAACTTTCTTTAACTAGAAAGGATAATGCAGTCTACCTAAGATATGATAAATTAAATGTTCAAGTTAACCTAAATGAGGACCTCTGGAATAACATGGTCATCATTTCCTTGGCAATCTTTTGAAAGTAATGTTTTGGTGGAGAAGGAGAGAGCAGGGCTTTCAGTGCTGGAGCACCAATTAACTGCTCAAGAAAGTGTGCAAAGAAATACACGTGTATGTTCATGTGTATAAATGTGTTTCACCTACTTCCATTTTCTGCTTTCGTGGGTCACTAAACCAATTGTGTTGGTGTGAGATTGTTCTGAAATGGGAAACATGGCAAATGCACTAGTTTGTTGTAGAAACTGAGTGTCATCCCAGATACAGTTACAGTCATCTAGTAAAAGGATGCATTACTGTTGAGGAAAGTTCAAAATATTTACTAATTTCAAGGAGATCCGTGATCTACCCGTAAGCATTTGCCAGGAAGAAAAATATCTTTTGCATAACATGATTCCCTGGAAATGATTCACTCATCTGTGGGAGCAACATGAAGCTCTTTTGAAAAATGAACACCAGATAAAAGGAAACCTGCTAAGAAAACTGCACTCTAATTTAGAAAAGATGATCTAATTAGTACAGCTAATATCAAGGAAGCATACATCATTATGGTCTTCTAAAGCATATTTAAATAGAATAAAAATGATTAATTAACAATTCAGTAATCATGAGCTACCATCCCTTTTCATGGCCCAATTATGCATCTCAGAAGATGCAAATTGTCCCTACAAATTTAAAAATTTAAGGTAACTAACAATAGTGAATCTAAAAGCAAAATGCAGGACATCACTAAGATTACTCATGTGCTGAAAGTTAAGCATGTGCTTAAGTGCATTCTTGGGTTGTAGCCTTGTTCAAACAATTGTTGGCGCTTAGCATGAGATGGATATTGGCATATTGGAAATGTGGAAAGTGGTGAATTTTCCCAAGATTTTGCTGTGAAAGCATCTTTGCCTGAAACCTAGCCCACTCTCACTGGAAAATGGGACTGGTTTGGTTTGAAATATTTGCATACCTTAGCACAAGTTCCCACAGAAACAGGTCCAGTTTTGACTTCATAACACAATGTGAAAGAAAAAAGAGAAACCCAAAACATAACTTTTATTCTGATTTCTATTTCTTCGTCTTTTGTTATGATTTTGTGGATCACTTCTAGCTTACAGATAGCTCAAGTGGAGGAGTGTTCTAAGAATTAAATCAGTAGCCATGAATTAATGACAGTTTTCCTGAGGGCCATTGATTAAATCACACTGGGTAACAGCACTGTCCCTGTCTGCATGTCTCGGGTAGTTACACAGCCAGCTAAGAATCAGATAGAACATTTAATTTGGTCTTTCTGGGTTCCACCTGCAATCAGTGGACAGAAATGGGTGCTCCTGGAAGCTGGCACGGCCAAACTCACAACCACATCCCATCCAAACCCTCCAGGCTAGCTGGGCTCGCTTCCTCTGCGTCTTACTGGGGACCGGAGGGAAAATCCTGCCAGTGAGCTCTGGCAGGACACTTGGGAAGAGAAATTTTAGTCACTGGTTGAGGAGATATGCAGATTCTTAAGCAATCATAGACGGCTTTGAGAATGTTTTGGCTGAATGGGGGTGGTGAGGCTCTGGCTCAGGATGCTCAGAGAAGCTGTGGCTGCCCCTGGATCTCTGGAAGTGTCCAAGGCCAGGCTGGATGGGGCTTGGAGCAGCCTGAGATAATGAAAGGGGTCCCTGCCCATGGCAGAGGCTTTGGAGCAAGATGATCTTTAAACCAGTCTGTGATTGTGTGATTCAAGAGTTCTGAATGTGTTTCAACTTTTGAGACGTGAGATTAATTTTTATCATGTCATCCAGGCACAGCACTGATCTGTATCCCCTGGTGATGGGGAGATCCAGAGGCTGCTGTTGGACCATTCCTTGAGACACAACAAACTCCTTGAAACTTTGCATAGGGTTGTGGTTTTCTGGTAGAGGCAAAAGCAATATGAATTTCCCATTGGAACCCTGTTCAAAGACTAGCCAGAGTCTTTGTACTCCCTAAGCAGGAAGGAAAGGATGAGGGAATTCAGGGACAGGGGCATTGGGCCATGCTCCTACTTATGAATGTGTGTAGAGGTAAATGCTCTCTCTCTCCCCTGTTCACATCTGCCTGTTTACCTCATTTTGCACCACTGGAATTCAGCATATTTATGCAGGCAGACTTTGCAGACCCTTTATCTCCCTGTGAGCCCCAAGCCAGTTGCCCCTGCTTGGTGCCCTTGCATGTTTTCCATATTAAATAAAACAACACCCCCACATGTTCTGTGGAAGGCTATTTTGAAGGCAGTCACATATCTTTATTCTTGCCTCCTCTGACCTTGATCTTTACTTTCTCTTTTTCTCCCAAAGAAAATATTTGCTTGCACTGTTATGTGTAAGCAAGATCATTTCCCCAGGTGTGGTGATGCTGAAAGAAAAATTAATTTCTTCTACCTTCTTCCTGTCAGAGAGAGGGAACTTCCTTTTAAGCTGAGAGGAGAGACAAGCTTTAATGGATAGCCCTTGCCTAGTCAGCACTGGGTGCTCCACAGAGGAGAGTAAATAACTAGAACAGTGGAAACATTTTATTAAGAAATTCAAAATAATGCCAGACCTTCTGTTCTCAAGCTGAATTTTAATCTCAAGTCTTGGCTCAAGTTGAGGCTTAAACATTAATTTCTGAGGGACAGGACCTTATCCAGGACCTTATCCTTGGACCTTACAGAAACCAGGCAAGATACATTCAATTCCACTGTGTGTGTGTGTGATCAGCCAGAATTGCTGGTATCTGGGATAAAAAATGAGAGTTAGATCCTAGGAGAAGAGAAGAAACCTAAATAAATCACTGGGGGGAAAAAAGAGGTCAGGCCAGGTGCAGCATAGAAGTGCTGAGTCTTCACACCACAGCAACTGATAAAGAAGGAGCCTCATCTGCAAGTCTCAAAGTCTCAGCTCACAATTTAATCCAGTGTGTGGGTTGTGCACATGCTCAGAGGCTGTTCTCTAGAAATACTGTGCGACATGGTCACAATGGCAATTTAGGTAGTGGCTTTTTGCCCTTACTGGAGTTTTTTTTACACTCCCATTATTGTGTTGAAGTGTAATCATTGCTGGTTTTTTAAGAGCTCAGTGAGCAGGCAGTGCCCAGAGCTCTCTGGATGGTGTCAGTCCCACCAGGGCAGTCTGGGGTGAGCAGTCCATGTTCCCCATGGCACTCCCAGTACCCCAATTTGTGAGCAGTGAGGAGCTGAGTGCACTTACAAGACCTGCGTGCTCTCCTCTGGCAGACCAAGCCAAGAGACACTGAGGTTGGTTTTTGAAAGTTGTCAGATTAACTGAAAAATTTTCAGAGTTGGAAATTTTCCCAAGTTTTCTGCCACAAACTTTGTAAGAAGCCTCAAAGTGTGGTGGACAGCACTGGATCAGGTTGTCTTTGTGGTGTTAACCAGTAGAGTTTTTTCAAGACAAAGGCATTGACTGAAATAACCTGAGAAAGAATCTCAGCACGAAGCCCTGGTACAAGGTTTGGGTTTGCAGAATTGAGCTTCGCTGAGAAGCCAGTTTGCAGTCCTGTGATATGTTATTCTGAGCCATTCCTTCCAGAGCTTTGGTACCGAGCTGACACATAGAGATCCTTCATTCAGACTTCAAAAAAGAAACTCTGAGAGAGAAGCTTGCATTTTCTTGTACAGGGAATAGGTTTTTCTTCTCAGTTTTGGCTATTTTGCGCTGACATTCTATGGCTAAACCTTTTCTGTTGCTTGATAATAGTTGGAGGGGACTGATCATCATCTGTGTAAACAGCAGTTCTTGTTCAAGTAAGTACAATATTTGAAAATATGTTGTTAGGATCAGGACTTCCATTCAGTGCTGAACTTGTAAAATCCATGTCATTTCTTGGGCTTTGAGTCTGTTTTAACACCTCAAGGTGGTGGACTAAGATCTCACTCTGGCTTCCTGGAGTGTTTGCAGAATGACAGAGAAATTGCCACCCTCAGGATGGCAGCTGGCTGGAGGGCTCCTGTGGCACTCTTTGTGGGTCCTCAGTGTTTCATTGCTCATGGGTCCTTAGCAGTTCATGTGCTTTAGCCCTCTACTTCATCCAACACAATAATTTGTTTCCAAATTTGCCTTATTGATGCATATACCGTTTGTTACTGGTCCCCAGTTGGAAGGGGCATATGGTCAGTGACTCGTCAGAAATCCCAGAGGAGATTTCTGAAGGAAAAGGAGAAGTTGAGTAAAATGGAAAGTGACTTTTTAGTCTGAAGGCTCCTACAAATATGAACAAGCAGAGAGGCTGGAGAATCAGCAGTAGCTGTTCATAATGAGGAAGACAAAGGATTTTCTTTTTTCCATGCACAAAGCTATTTTGAGCTTTCCTAAGAAGTAAACACATTTCTGTCCCACCAGGTTTCTCTTACCCCTGTAATTTCCTTACAGTCACTTATTGGTGTGCCTTTTAGCCCCTGAACTCAAGAAGAAGAGTGCATTTACCTGACAAGACAAAGGATTTTCTTTTTTCCATGGACAAAGCTATTTTGAGCTTTCCTAAGTAAACACATTTCTGTCCCACCAGGTTTCTCTCACCCCTGTAATTTCCTTACAGTCACTTATTGGTGTGCCTTTTAGCCCCTGAACTCAAGAAGAAGAGTGCATTTACCTGATCCTGGCTCAGCTGAATGGGACTGGGAAATTATGAATATCACAC